CTAATTGCTATCTACTTATATTGTTCTATATTTACATTTATGAAATCACTGTTCAAAATATAATTTAATGTATTGCAAATTTCAATAGTAAAAAATCAGCCTACCCATTTTTATTGAATATAACAAAACTGAATGCGTGATTTTTAATAATATAGTAATTTTAGTCAAGATTTTACTCATGATTTGTATGTTTTTGTTTTCTTGTCTTTTTGAGACAGGGTGTTGCCATGCAGCTCAGGCCAGCCTTGAGCTTACTTTGTAGCCCACGCGGATCTCAAACTCACTATGACCCAGCCTCCCAAGTGCTGAGATTACAGGCATGTGCTATCATGCCCAGCTTTCATCTGTGTATCTTTATTCTTTTTTATATTTAAATTAAGCCATATAATCTGAGTTTCCTGCCTGTGCTTTGAATGTGCAACTTGAAAGAAGTGTTCTCAAAGGTAGGTTTTTAGAAATTGTTACCTGTGCGATGTGATAATTCCTCCACCCTTTCAGTCGCAGCGGACCCCAGGGCAATGGAATGAATGGTCGCACCGCTGCTGAGCGCCGTGGGCAAGCAGTTGCTGATGTGTTCGTCACCCCCGCTGGTCACTAATATCACCACAGAGCCCGAAGCTTTTCCATTCAGCTTTTCAACCACCTTCACACGAGTATCAGTCATTGGGAAGGAAATGTAGTTCAGATTTTCTCACTGAACGCAAGAATTCGCTGTCTTTCTCCTTCCCCCAGAATGCCTCTCGGAGGTCTTCAGTCGTGCCTTACTCTGCAAGCCCTCCCCGACTCAGTCCTCATCTGTTCCATCACAGCATTTGTCACCCTCCATGTCACTGCCACTTTGCTTGTGGCTGGGGACTTGTCCTGTTTGAATTACCCTGACTTGCTCAGAGTGCTCTTAAGTGTCCGTCACAGAGGAAATGGGGTACATAATCACATGACAGTCTTGCCTCTGAAATCTACTAAGTGACTAATAAGGGGGCTTAGAGTGGTTGTTCTCTCACCGTGGCTACACGCTGGTACTAGATGGGAAGATCCCTGACCAATCAAATCAGAATAACTGGACATGAGACCCAGGCATCAGTTTTGTTCTT